GTCTTACATGTAAGGGGGTTTGGGTCCATCCCAGCATGCATTAAACAGAAGGCAGGGCTAGCACACATAGAGAGAAGCATGCAGACACGGGGGGAATATGCAAGCTCCCCACAGAATGGCATCAAACAGCTGGAAAGCTCAAACCCCAACTTATTTTTATTTTATTTTAACTACAGTATATATTTTTAAGTGAATATAAAATGAGCTACTCACTAGAGAGATTCACATCGATGTAGAATTGGTCTCAGTCTGTTGAGTCCTCGGTTTCCGATGTTAGAGTAGCCCAAGTTGAGCTCTTGCAGCTTGTGTGGGGAAAACTGCAGCACGTAGTGTATCGCTGCACAGTCCACAACACTGAGCTTCATTTTAAACAGGTTGAGTTTTGTGATCTCTGGTGCTGCAAAGCTAGTGGTTTCCTTCATGTGGAACTCCATCAGACAGTGGAGAAGATTTAGGGCTACCTGGTTTTCCAGCTCCCTGGTTTTGAACTGATCTCGGAACCACAAACCGAGCCTGTTGGGGATGCTGTCCTCTTGCTCGATGGGAGAATGCACAAGACCTTCTAAATGACCTGACAACCGTGCTCGCAGCATTCCCATGAAGAAACGTGTGAACATTTGGAGACTTTCAAGCTTATCCACGCTAAGGTGTAAATTTTGAAGGGGTGCAGCAGTAGAGGACGATGGACGTACCCCGAAGCACCAAAAGTCAAGAGCTTGTATTATGTCGTCCTGGCTAGAGAGGTTGATTGCGCAGTACAAGGCAGCTAGATGTTCTTGAACAGTAAGGTGGAAGAAAGAAAACATCTCCACTGTCTCCTCTTTAATAGGCTGGAGGATATGACAGAGAAAGGTGCTCTGAACATCAGCAGGTGTGACACCGTAGTTCTCCAAATCTGCTTTATCAAACAATATCTTCTTCTGTAGAAGGTTTTCATAAGCCAGTTTCCCCAGTTTCATCAGTTGTTGTTTAGCTAGGCTAAGAACCTCTGATCTAGGTGTGCTTCTCTCTGTCCTCCCTTTTAGTCCATGGTGTTTGACTGCTGTAAACAAATAGCAGAAATAAACCTCGCTGACTGTTCTGGGTGGGCTTAACTCCAGAGACTTCGATTCACCTGCATTGTTAGGCTGTGAAGAGAAGAACTCAGCCATAGCGGTACAGATGATGTAGCAATAAAGAGGGATGAAGGAAAGCACAAATAGGTTGTCATTGTTCACAATGTAATCATACACCTTTTGAGCAACTTCACTGTCTTTGTAAAACTTGGCGGTGTACTCCTTCACCTGGTCCTCCTCAAAGCCCAGCACCACACAACATCTCTGGAAGAAACGCTTGGGAGCTTCTGTAGATGGCCTTGTTGTAATTATGACTGATGCTTCTGGAAGAAGGCTTCCTTTTATCAAAGCCACCATCAGCTCTGACACCAGAACGTTTGATTTTACATCAATGTTTTTGTCTGGTCTGTTCCAGTCCAGAGGGAATTTAAACTCATCTAAACCATCTAAGATGAAAAGCAATGATCTTGGTGTGGTGAGCAGGTCAGGTAGAGCCTCCTTTAGGTATCGGAACCGTTGTTCAAGAAGCTCCAGTAAACTCAGTGGTTTATCAACTAGATTGAGCTCTCTGAAGCGTAGGTCAAAAATGCAGGTGAATTCACGCATGTTCTTCCCAATTGCCCACTCGTAGACCAATCTCTGTACTGCCACACTCTTTCCTATACCTGCAATACCCTTCACTTTCACCCTTTTAGGGGCTCGTCCCAATGCTTCTTGGGGGCTCAACAGATGACCGGGCCCTTCCTTAGCTGCAAACTATGAAAGTATCAGATCTCACGTTACGCTTGATTGCACAAGCACAGGAATCAAAATCACAAAAAAATATGCATTGCCTAAATGCTCAAGGTTTACAATTTTAAATAATGACCTGACTTAATGTACGTCAAACATTTACAAGCACTAATGTCAGTTTACATTTTAAACCTAAATACGAAATTTGTTACCAGCTCTATATACATTTTTATAGACTCAAGTAGAGAAGTTTGTGTGATTAACAGTTCAGAATAACCCTTTTTTACAGTATAGCGGTAAATCAAGGCGTACATTCAAATTCATACACATATTCCATATAGAGCAAAAAATGAAACCAGGAATTATAAATTAAAAAAAACAGGAA